ATTTTTTTAATGTTTATTATGTTTTATTCATTTAACTATAATAACATTTGTGTGTTATATAATTATATGAATTACTTCTTTTTTTTTCAAATTATTAAAAGGTGTTACTTCTATTGGAAAAACCGTGAGGCTATGAAAATACAATTAGGTTTTACTTTTTTTAATAATTTCTTAAAAAAACATCAATCAATATTATTATAATTTTACAATTAAAAAGGTGAGGCCATTTTAATATGACTATTATATATTAATAATTTTTTTCTTTTTATAATAGATTAAGATTATGTGTTATTATTTTATTGTTACATAAAAGAAAAGTTGTTAAAAAGAAATTTTTCATTTTGAATTTGGGTGGTTCTCACTGCCTAAGCATGTCTATATAAGGAGCCAGCATGTGGTGAAGGAGTCCATTGGTAAGCACACTAGCTATCTTCACTCCCACCATGGTTGTCCAACGCTTCCTCCTCGTCACATTCCCTTCACAAGGCCACATAAACCCTGCTCTTCAGTTCGCCAAGCGTCTCATTTCCATGGGCGCACATGCCACTCTTGTCGTTACTCTCCACCTCTACCGTCGCATCACCAAAAAAATCAACATCCTTGGCCTCTCCTTCCTCCCCTTCTCGGATGGCTTTGACGATGGCTTCTTCCCCGTCAACAACACCGCCACTGACTACCACCTCTACCTGTCCGAGCTCCAGTGCCGTACCTCGGATTTCGTGTCCGACCTCATAGTGTCCACCACTGCCGAGGGAAACCCTTTCACTCACGTAGTTTATACTCTCCTCGTTCCCTGGGTGGCTGACGTAGCACGAAGCTTTAACCTTCCCACTTCGTTGCTATGGATCGAAACGGCCACCGTACTGGACATTCTCTACTACTACTTTCACGGCTACGCTGATTACATCAACGAAGAAACCGTGACCGAAGCTTCGTGTTCCATAAATCTTCCAGGGTTACCGTTTTCGCTTTCCCAGCGAGATATACCTTCTTTTTTGTTGCTCTGGAAACCGACCATGTTGTCTTTTACTTTCCCAGCGTTTCAGGAACAGATTCTGCAGCTTGACCGAGAAAAAAACCCGACGGTGCTGGTGAATACGTTTGAAGCATTGGAATCTGCGGCGCTGAGGGCCGTTGACGGGATGAACATGATCCCCATAGGGCCGTTGATTCCTTCTGCTTTCTTAGACGGGAGAGACCCTAGTGATGCTTGCTTCGGTGGAGACATATTCCCTGTGTCAAACGATTATGTTACGTGGCTTGATTCGAAGGAAGAGAAGTCAGTGGTTTACGTGTCCTTTGGGAGCTATCTAGAGTTAAGCAAAGGACAAATGGAGGAAATTGCACGAGCGTTATTTGATTGTGGACGTCCATTCTTGTGGGTCATACGAGAAAAGGAGAATCAGGAGGAGGTACTGGAATTGGGAATGGAATTGGAAAAGAAAGGGAAGATAGTGACGTGGTGCTCTCAAGTGGAGGTTCTTGCACATGGTTCTGTAGGTTGTTTTCTGACGCACTGTGGGTGGAATTCGACCATGGAAAGCCTTGTTTCTGGGGTTCCAATGGTGGCGTTTCCACAGTGGACAGATCAGATGACTAATGCAAAGCTTGTAGAAGATGTGTGGAAGATTGGGTTGCGGGTAGACCATGATGTGAATGAAGATGGGATAGTGGAAGGGAAGAAGATTAAGAGATGTTTGGATGTGGTTATGGGCAGTGGAGACAGAGCATGTGAGTTGAGAAAGAATTCACAGAAATGGATGGCTTTGGCTAGGGACGCTGCCATGGAAGGTGGCTCATCGGAAAACAACCTCAAGGCTTTTTTTCATCATGTCGGAGATAAATTTATGCATACTCAGAACACTCAAAACTAATTGTGTCTTGTAATGCGTTATACGGGTTAAGTTTGGAAGATCAAATTATCAATAAATGAATAAAACCCTAGAAAAATATCCTTTACTTTCCAAACTTTTTAATAATAAAAGTTTGGCTTAAGTTGTACATTTATTAAATAAGTTTAATATTTATCGAGTTTCAATATTTATTAATTAAATAAGTTTAAGTTGGCTTTTTTTATTAAATTATCTTTAATATAATTTAAAAGTTTTACATTTTAAAATCTTTTCATCTTTTACCTCATTTGTTTTTCCTTCTTTCTTTTTTCATCTCTCACTGTCTTTCCTCACTTCTTTCCTCATGTAGTTAAGAAAACAAATTGAAATTCTAGATTATCAAGTGTAACTAAGAAAACAAATTTAAAATTTTAAAGTTTGTCATTTTTTTTATTCTGGTGAGAATCTTATTTTTGAAATTGCACAAATAGGATTTTTTTTATGCGATATTTTATATTTTAGAAACTGTGCAAAATGAATATTTTTGTAGAGGTGGAGGGAGGTGATGAGAGGGATAAATAGACCAAATGAACTATATTTAATATTAATAAAATATAAAGACTAAAATTAATCATAAACTTAAATTTTATATTTAATTAGTAAAAATAAATATGAGAAAAATTGAAATTAAATCATCAATGTTAAATGAAAATATAAAAAAGTATAAAAGTACAAAACTCTAAATGAAATAGTATTTATTGAAAGTTCTGTATATATATATTTAGAATATATATAGATCAAATTTGATGTTATAAGTCGATTTTGTGAATTGAATTATAAGTCTATTTCTTAACATAATAATAAATCTATGAGATAAAGTCCGTATAGGAAATATATATATATATATATATTTTTTGCACATAGATTAAAAGATAAATTTTATTTAGAATATATAGGTGCAAATCTCACTAAGTGATTTTGTGAAATTAGGTTATAATTAAATAACTTTTTATCTAGTATATAAAATAAAGCATCTTACCTTAGTGTTCGACTTTCGTTACTCATTTTCCTTGGCTTTTGTTCTGTTCTCGACTTTAGGTGGAGGATAGAATGGAAGAGAATAAAATCCAAAGCTTTAAAAACACGTAGTTGGTTTTTCAATTTATTTATTCTCTGTTTTTTTCAAGAAAAATAAACACGTTTAACATAAAATTCTACAAAAGGTGAACTTTGTACGGTAATGGTATAACTTTGGACGGGAATGATACAACTTGTCGTGTGTCATTCTTCTTTTCTTTTTTGTTTTTAATTTCTCCCTAACAAGATTATATATTTGCATAAGCAGATCCTAAAGGTGTGAATGCTATAACATTGATGTCGAGGTGGATTAGTAGACATTAACTGTGTGGCTTCTTCTTTTTATTTTAACTAAATTGATGCAATTTTACATCTAAAGTCGAAAATTGACTGATGTTTAAAAATTTTACCATTTTTGGATAAGTTGTATTCGGGGAAAATGATTTCACATGTGTAGAAGTTTTTGTGCATCATAAAAAACTTTAGTTTCTATTTAAATAAGTTGTGCACCAATAATGTAACATTGCATGAAAAAGAACTAAAAAGATGTCGTGATTAGTGAGCACAACTTTGATTTTAGTAATTATGTTTTTATTGATTAAGTCATGAGGAAAAAAGATGATTTTCAAAACCAAACGTTGTGAATGCAGTGCACAACTTTAGTTTAAATAAATTGTTCAATAATTTATTTAATAAAATAGGTGATAATATGTTGAATATGTTATAAATTATTAAATGAATGATTTATTATTTTTGTAATTCACGTTATCAATAAGAGAATATTATAAAAATAAAAAATATTAATTTAAATAATTTTTCAATACATTTAATATATTATCAATTATTTTATTAAATAATTCAAATACTTTATTCAACAATTTATTACACAATTTTACTTAATATTTAAAAAGAAACCATTGTAAAAACTTAAAAAATAGTTTAAAGAATAGAAATAATTTTTATAAATGTCACTCAATTATTATATTATTAAAAGGTGAATCTATAAATAGAAAAGTCACTCATTTGGATTTTATTATATAAAATCTACCAATTCTTTAAAAATTAATCTTTATCCTTTCTTTATCTTTTTCTAAATTTCTAATCTCACCTTTCACCTCTTTCAAAATAAAAGACTATCTTAGGAGTCTTACACTTTGTTCACTTTAATGAATTTGGGGGAGAGTGATTCAATGAATTTGAGAGGATTTGAAGATAATTTTTGTTGTTGTTTATTTGAGTGAATTTGGAGGTAAGTGAGAGTGGATTTGGAAGTAAAATTTTTTAATCTCTCACATCAATCAAATCATACACTAATTCTCACAAACTTTATTTCCAAATTCACTCTCACTTACCTCCAAATCCACTCAAATAAACAACAAAAAAATTTACCTTCAAATCCTCTCAAATTCATTCAATCATTTTTCTCCAAATTCATTCAAGTGTACAAAGCCTTAGTTTAAAGCACAACATTTTTATTCAATCAAATTTGTTATCAAAGTAAGTTTTTCTTATGCTATATCTTCTTTAGTCATTTAGAAAATTTATATAAATATGGTGTCTTAATGATTGCATGTCAAGAAAGTTTTAAAAGAATCATTATTTATATGTGTTCATTTAATCTGATCATTCATATGATTTGTGAGCATCCTATAAGAGTTGGAGATTTTGGAACAAAAGTTGAGTTAGTTAGAATATTAATTTTGGTNTTGCTATGGATCGAAACGGCCACCGTACTGGACATTCTCTACTACTACTTTCACGGCTACGCTGATTACATCAACGAAGAAACCGTGACCGAAGCTTCGTGTTCCATAAATCTTCCAGGGTTACCGTTTTCGCTTTCCCAGCGAGATATACCTTCTTTTTTGTTGCTCTGGAAACCGACCATGTTGTCTTTTACTTTCCCAGCGTTTCAGGAACAGATTCTGCAGCTTGACCGAGAAAAAAACCCGACGGTGCTGGTGAATACGTTTGAAGCATTGGAATCTGCGGCGCTGAGGGCCGTTGACGGGATGAACATGATCCCCATAGGGCCGTTGATTCCTTCTGCTTTCTTAGACGGGAGAGACCCTAGTGATGCTTGCTTCGGTGGAGACATATTCCCTGTGTCAAACGATTATGTTACGTGGCTTGATTCGAAGGAAGAGAAGTCAGTGGTTTACGTGTCCTTTGGGAGCTATCTAGAGTTAAGCAAAGGACAAATGGAGGAAATTGCACGAGCGTTATTTGATTGTGGACGTCCATTCTTGTGGGTCATACGAGAAAAGGAGAATCAGGAGGAGGTACTGGAATTGGGAATGGAATTGGAAAAGAAAGGGAAGATAGTGACGTGGTGCTCTCAAGTGGAGGTTCTTGCACATGGTTCTGTAGGTTGTTTTCTGACGCACTGTGGGTGGAATTCGACCATGGAAAGCCTTGTTTCTGGGGTTCCAATGGTGGCGTTTCCACAGTGGACAGATCAGATGACTAATGCAAAGCTTGTAGAAGATGTGTGGAAGATTGGGTTGCGGGTAGACCATGATGTGAATGAAGATGGGATAGTGGAAGGGAAGAAGATTAAGAGATGTTTGGATGTGGTTATGGGCAGTGGAGACAGAGCATGTGAGTTGAGAAAGAATTCACAGAAATGGATGGCTTTGGCTAGGGACGCTGCCATGGAAGGTGGCTCATCGGAAAACAACCTCAAGGCTTTTTTTCATCATGTCGGAGATAAATTTATGCATACTCAGAACACTCAAAACTAATTGTGTCTTGTAATGCGTTATACGGGTTAAGTTTGGAAGATCAAATTATCAATAAATGAATAAAACCCTAGAAAAATATCCTTTACTTTCCAAACTTTTTAATAATAAAAGTTTGGCTTAAGTTGTACATTTATTAAATAAGTTTAATATTTATCGAGTTTCAATATTTATTAATTAAATAAGTTTAAGTTGGCTTTTTTTATTAAATTATCTTTAATATAATTTAAAAGTTTTACATTTTAAAATCTTTTCATCTTTTACCTCATTTGTTTTTCCTTCTTTCTTTTTTCATCTCTCACTGTCTTTCCTCACTTCTTTCCTCATGTAGTTAAGAAAACAAATTGAAATTCTAGATTATCAAGTGTAACTAAGAAAACAAATTTAAAATTTTAAAGTTTGTCATTTTTTTTATTCTGGTGAGAATCTTATTTTTGAAATTGCACAAATAGGATTTTTTTTATGCGATATTTTATATTTTAGAAACTGTGCAAAATGAATATTTTTGTAGAGGTGGAGGGAGGTGATGAGAGGGATAAATAGACCAAATGAACTATATTTAATATTAATAAAATATAAAGACTAAAATTAATCATAAACTTAAATTTTATATTTAATTAGTAAAAATAAATATGAGAAAAATTGAAATTAAATCATCAATGTTAAATGAAAATATAAAAAAGTATAAAAGTACAAAACTCTAAATGAAATAGTATTTATTGAAAGTTCTGTATATATATATTTAGAATATATATAGATCAAATTTGATGTTATAAGTCGATTTTGTGAATTGAATTATAAGTCTATTCCTTAACATAATAATAAATCTATGAGATAAAGTCCGTATAGGAAATATATATATATATATATATTTTTTGCACATAGATTAAAAGATAAATTTTATTTAGAATATATAGGTGCAAATCTCACTAAGTGATTTTGTGAAATTAGGTTATAATTAAATAACTTTTTATCTAGTATATAAAATAAAGCATCTTACCTTAGTGTTCGACTTTCGTTACTCATTTTCCTTGGCTTTTGTTCTGTTCTCGACTTTAGGTGGAGGATAGAATGGAAGAGAATAAAATCCAAAGCTTTAAAAACACGTAGTTGGTTTTTCAATTTATTTATTCTCTGTTTTTTTCAAGAAAAATAAACACGTTTAACATAAAATTCTACAAAAGGTGAACTTTGTACGGTAATGGTATAACTTTGGACGGGAATGATACAACTTGTCGTGTGTCATTCTTCTTTTCTTTTTTGTTTTTAATTTCTCCCTAACAAGATTATATATTTGCATAAGCAGATCCTAAAGGTGTGAATGCTATAACATTGATGTCGAGGTGGATTAGTAGACATTAACTGTGTGGCTTCTTCTTTTTATTTTAACTAAATTGATGCAATTTTACATCTAAAGTCGAAAATTGACTGATGTTTAAAAATTTTACCATTTTTGGATAAGTTGTATTCGGGGAAAATGATTTCACATGTGTAGAAGTTTTTGTGCATCATAAAAAACTTTAGTTTCTATTTAAATAAGTTGTGCACCAATAATGTAACATTGCATGAAAAAGAACTAAAAAGATGTCGTGATTAGTGAGCACAACTTTGATTTTAGTAATTATGTTTTTATTGATTAAGTCATGAGGAAAAAAGATGATTTGCAAAACCAAACGTTGTGAATGCAGTGCACAACTTTAGTTTAAATAAATTGTTCAATAATTTATTTAATAAAATAGGTGATAATATGTTGAATATGTTATAAATTATTAAATGAATGATTTATTATTTTTGTAATTCACGTTATCAATAAGAGAATATTATAAAAATAAAAAATATTAATTTAAATAATTTTTCAATACATTTAATATATTATCAATTATTTTATTAAATAATTCAAATACTTTATTCAACAATTTATTACACAATTTTACTTAATATTTAAAAAGAAACCATTGTAAAAACTTAAAAAATAGTTTAAAGAATAGAAATAATTTTTATAAATGTCACTCAATTATTATATTATTAAAAGGTGAATCTATAAATAGAAAAGTCACTCATTTGGATTTTATTATATAAAATCTACCAATTCTTTAAAAATTAATCTTTATCCTTTCTTTATCTTTTTCTAAATTTCTAATCTCACCTTTCACCTCTTTCAAAATAAAAGACTATCTTAGGAGTCTTACACTTTGTTCACTTTAATGAATTTGGGGGAGAGTGATTCAATGAATTTGAGAGGATTTGAAGATAATTTGAGTGAATTTGGAGGTAAGTGAGAGTGGATTTGGAAGTAAATTTTTTTAATCTCTCACATCAATCAAATCATACACTAATTCTCACAAACTTTAATTCCAAATTCACTCTCACTTACCTCCAAATCCACTCAAATAAACAACAAAAAAATTTACCTTCAAATCCTCTCAAATTCATTCAATCATTTTTCTCCAAATTCATTCAAGTGTACAAAGCCTTAGTTTAAAGCACAACATTTTTATTCAATCAAATTTGTTATCAAAGTAAGTTTTTCTTATGCTATATCTTCTTTAGTCATTTAGAAAATTTATATAAATATGGTGTCTTAATGATTGCATGTCAAGAAAGTTTTAAAAGAATCATTATTTATATGTGTTCATTTAATCTGATCATTCATATGATTTGTGAGCATCCTATAAGAGTTGGAGATTTTGGAACAAAAGTTGAGTTAGTTAGAATATTAATTTTGGTAAAGGAAGCTAGCTTATTTTTATAGCTATTTTTTTGGCATAATGAATTGATTTCTTAGAAGAATTATGATTTGTTAAAATTTATTATATATTGATAGAATGTGATAGCATATAAGTTAATGAGTTGTTGAATGATTATTGTGAAAAATAGTTTTGAATAAATTAGTGTGAGTACTATGATAACTTTCACCAAGTGGGTTCTTGTGTGACCTAGTATTGTTATTGTTCTTAGGAGAAGTTGTTTATCCTTTGTGTGACTCAAAGGAAGTGTTTCATTTCTTGTGTGATTCAAGGAATGTGTCTTTCATCTTTTCTATCTTCAAGAAAGATGTTCTCTAAACCTTAAAATTTTTCTTTCGTAATTGTAAGTTTGGTTTATTTTTAACGTTTAAGTTAATCCCTTTTTAGAGAGATTAACAATTAGATGTAGAGTCTTTTGATCCAAAATAGTATAAAATATATATGTACAAATTTTTTATTTCTTAGTCATTATTTTATTGAAGTCCCTAAAATAAAAAAAAAAAGTTTTAATTGAACGATAAATTTTGAAAAGAAATTAAAGTATCAATTTTTGTTAAACAATGATTCATCTCTGTAACATCCCAAAATATAGCCATAAATCATATTATAGTAGTCACAAAATAATATGATAGAACAGTTATAGACTAGTAAATAAAGTATTAACTTTACAGTCATCTAAAATAACCATAAAATTTAAAACTTTATATACAAGGAGTTATCAAAACTATACATAAAACTAATCTAAAGTCAAACTATGTTGTAGCGTCCTCTCGCCATCCAGAGCCTGCTCTAGACACACCTCATCTCCCTCTGCTCACACCCACAGGATAATCATTGCAAAATAAGAACACCAAACAGACAAAACACAATCACAAATAGAAGGGTAAGCTAGATATGAGAGAATTCATACAATTATATCACACATAACATACACATGGTTATTCAAGCAAAATAAACTATTTCAAACATCCTAACATGTTATGACCTAGACTTGACTGCACGGACTTAGAATGATTGTCGAGCTATGGTGGGTTGTGCACTTGTGGTGGCCTCTACTGCTTTGTAACGCCATTGCCAACGGGTTTCACCCTACCACACTCACAAGGTTAGTCTGTTCCAGGCCTTGAGGCATACTGGAAGCCCACAAGACTAAGACCTTCTGCTAGTCCTCACGACATGGATAAGTCCTCTCTATATGAGAATAAAATACCATTGGAGTTTCAGGATAACCCCTAAGACTGAGCTCCTGCATTCATTCTAAACAAACTTGAATCTCACCAAGAGACTCCACATTGAAACTTACTTTCACCACTTAGAATTCGTATACCTTCACTTGGAAACATACTCATGACAATAATCAATTATATACTGTAAGACACACTCAAACATACTTCATAATGTACTCAACAATTCATTTAGATTAACTTAAGACAAAGAAAAAATAGTGAACTAAAACTCGGACCATTCACTCAGCGCACAGTCTCTCATAACAAATTCAGAGGTTTCTCGCAAAGCGACCCAATCTCGTTGTGTGAATAAACTTCCAATATTATTAGACCTCAACTCCTCGCATAGCGCCCTAATTCGCTATGCGAAAGCCTAGACAATGGTCCAGACCTCCCAAACACTCGTAGAGCGCACCCCCTCGCTATTCTAATAAATCTGGTAGTGACCCCAGACCACAACCAGGCGCTCAGCACACTGATTCGCTGTGCGTATCATCAGACAGAGAGAAAACCCCACAACCATTCGCACAGCACATCTTCTCGCTGTGCGAATTGCTCAAATAGAAAGCAACTCGCCATGACCACTCGTTATGCGAATTTGTTCGTTCAGCGAGTTTGCATAATTCTGCAACACGAATTCTGCAGAATTATGCCACTCAACCCAATTTTTACAAATTCTAACTATTTTCCCAACTTCTAACCATCCTAATTTGTGTTATATACCTAATTGGACTTGATCAAATGTTTCTAAACCTTCCTACCATCAATCTAAAGTGTTTATGGACCAATTCCTACTTTAAAACTTCTAAAATCACAACTTATACACCCAAAATCCAATCTACCACTTTTGATACATTTTTGACCAATTTAAGGGCTCAAGCAAGTCACATTTGACTTACCAAAGCTGCTCCAACAGACCAATTGAGCATCTAACCTCTAGTTCTCATTTTCGCTACCCCACTTCCTTAAATTACCTTAAAACTTGACATTTTAGACTTTCTTCACAACCTATCAACCTTATAATTTATTTCTAACTTTCCATACATCTCATAACACGTTAATT